CCCCCCCCCCCCCCCCAGAACGGGTCCCAGTCCTGGCAGGCCCCCCCGGGGGGGCGAAAAGCTACGGGTTCACGGGCCTTCTGAAGCGCAACAGAGGACCCGCGGTTCACCTGCGGGGCAGGGGGCGCCTGCGCGCCCACCCGGCCGCCCGGGACTGGCCATCTGGGGCTGTGCGGACGGACGGGACGGGACGGGGATACACCGGCCCCGCCCGGGGCCTTAGGGTGGGTGCCTTTGGGCCGTGCGCGTGGCCTTGCGCCGCCCTGGTCCCGGTGCTGGGCTTGGCGCGCATGTTTGGGGTCCGCCACGGCTGGGTGACTGCTGCCGCGTGGACTCAAACTGTTACAAGTCTCGTCCCCGTGTCTCCATTCCCCCTCTCACCTACTCCACGCTTCTCTTCCGGCGCCAACCACATCCGGCCGTGAGTCAACTGGAGACGTCCCTGCGGCTCTGTCTCCGGACAGTCTGCAGGCGCCGGGGGAGGTCGCGGCGGAGCAGCCAGTCTCCCCTCCCCTTCCCCCTCCCCGTTCCGTGGCTTCCCCCGAGGCTACTGAAGACTCACAGAACATTTGGCCTATTTCTATAACTAACTTGGGCATCCGAGCGTTGAACTTGATTTGATACCATATTTGTGGGTCATTTCTTCCAAGTGTAGGCCTTCGGTGTCAGTGGGAAGTCTACAATGACCCTATGTGCCTAGCACAGCCGGCCTTGAGCAACATAGATACTCATCAGTATCACTCCTTTTTCCCTTCGAGGGGCAATTTCGGGAGTAGCTAGTCACTGGCCTCCAGTTTCACTCCAGAACTGATAGCTCCCAAACCGACAGACTACACCTTGCGTAGTCTTACCCATATTCCCTACGTACTCGGGTTTTCTGCGAAAGAACGTCGCAATCTCAAGTCAGCAAATTCGCTTTCTTCCCCAACACCCAACTTCATCTACCCTGTGGTGTCGCCATCCCCCCTGCCACCTGGGACACCTTCCTCACCTCAGGGCTCAATGGCCAGTCAGTGTTTGCTTCCAAACTCCGCTATCCTGCCAGTTTCAGGTTCCCCGTGGTGCTACCCTGTCCTCGGGGCCTTCCTGCCCTCGGGGCCTTCCTGCCCTGACTACTGACACCCCCTCCCAGGGAGCCCTGTATCTCCCAGCACAAAACCTTTCACTGTTCCTTTAGCATCACCCCAGACTGTCCCACCTGGCTCCCAGTCCACCCACCACACCCAGCACTTGTCCCATACAGGCTTCTCCCAGTGTCCTCCCACTGAGCCCAGGCTCTCCCCCTGGCTGGCGCTGCCTCCCTCTTCCCTGCAGGCGTCAGTCAGGGCGCCTTCTGCTGTCGATGACAGACAACCCAACTCACACTTGCTTAAAAAAGAATTGATTGACTCATGTAAATGAAAGGTCCTGGATGTAGTTTCAGGGACAGATGATTTCAGGGACTCTCCATCTCTCAGTTTTGCTTCCTTCCATGTGAGCTACATTCTCGGGCACCACGTGAGAGCCTGGCAGAGCCAAGCTCACAACCTCACAGCATCAAGTCCAGCAGAAAAACAGCTTCTCTTTGCCAACCATGCCGCAAGCCTTGGGCCTGGTTCGGATCGGCACCTATTGAGTCACCTGTCCATCCTGCTCCCCAGCCACTGTGACCCCGTGGTAAGTGGTTCCCCCTCTCTCTCAGCTACCTACCTCCTCATCCCTCACAGGGAACATGTGGCTGCTCCTGGATCCCTTCTCTGTCACGGGGACTAAAGGTGACTCAGGGACACCGTCTGGAACCTTTCCCCCACAAAACCTGCCACACCACCACTTCACTTTGCTGCAGCCCTACTGTGTTGGTACAGGGCATCCTGGGATAGAGTTCCAAACAGGAGGTGGGGCACAGGTGCTCTCTGCTTTCATCTTCCTCCTTAAGCTACCTGGGATGTCTGTCTTTGTACCATATGCCTCCCTAGGTGGAGACCTAGCACAGAGGTGGCCTCGGGCCCTTCAGGGAACCTGGCAGACTCTCCCTAGACTCTCTCTCCAGTCTCTTTCCTCATCATCCCTATCCCCTGAGAGCTCCTATGCCCCTCCCATTCTGGCCCTGTGGACTTTGGGTTCTGAGTGTACCCACCCTGCCCCTTAGGGCAATAACACCTCATGGCTGAGCCATAAAGGAGGAAGGGGCTATAAGAAAAGGTTCCTATGGGGAAATATATATATATATATATATTAGAGGCCCTGTGCATGAAATTCATGCACTCAGGGGGAGTCTCTCAGCCCGGTTGGCGCCCTCTCACAGTCCAAGAGCCCTTGGGGGATGTCCAACTGACACGGGCCTAAGCGGGCAGTCAGATATCCTTAGTGTTGCCACAGAGGCAGGAGAGGCTCCTGCCACTGCACTCGCCAGCCATAAGCCCAGCTTAGGGCTTGTGACTGAGCAGCGCTCCCCCTATGGGAGTGCACTAACCACCAAGGGGCAGCTTCTGCATTGAGTGTCTGCCCCCTGGTGGTCAGTGCACATCATAGCGACCAGTCATTCCGCCATTTGGTTGATTTGCATATTAGCCTTTTATTATATAGGCTATCCCAAGACCATTACCTCTGTCAAACCTCTTTCCTTTGTTGAGGAGGCAGGTAGCCAGTGACCATCTGGCTAGCACCTGGGGAGGCTGTGTCAGAGATTGTCGCTGACCCAAAGGAAAGCAGAGTCAAGAGATAGGCAGCTTCCTGTGCTGCCTGAAATTAGGACCTGGGTTTTTCAATTCCATGTCCAATAAATCCCCCATACAATTTAGAATTGGTTTCTCTGTCACTTGCAAGCAAAAAAGCTCAGAGTAGTTCAAGCCCATAGCTCAGTGCCTGGCGCATTGGTTCCTGCAAAAATAGTAACTACCATCATCATTATCCATGTGATAAAGGAGCAAACATGCCCGTTGATGACTGTAAAACAGTAGCAAGGAGAAGTGCAGTGTCTTTGGCTTATCGCCATGGTCTCGCCTTCCATCCCAGCCTGCTGCTTTGTCCTTTCCACATACACATGTTGGCCCCAGGGCAAATCTCAAAATTCACTGGAATCTGAACCCACCCATCTTGTAAAAATAATCCCAGGCTCACCCAGGTCATGCCTCTGCCTTTCACACAAGCAAACCTGCCCAGACAAGAGCAGGTGCCCATCTTCAATCCAGTTTCGAGCCATTGAGCAAAAATTAAGCCAATATTTGCACAGCCTCCTTTGATTTGTGCTGTAGAGTTAGAGAAACAATGGGCTTCTGTCCTCACCCTTAAAGGGATTTACTATGGGGGAAAACAAGTAGACTAGGACACAGATGGAGGTAACAACAATACCAGGGAGTCCTTTGGGGGGAGGGAGTGGGGTGCTTTATTTGGACCAGGCTCTAAGTTCCAAAGTCTGTGCTGCCTGCAATCCTGCCTTACAACAGAAGTACACATCTGCACAAAACATTTTACTTGTGTCTCCTACAGTATCTAGGTTACAAATATTTTAAAAGTCCTTTTACCATGGATTTTGTTTCTCTGATTATAAACGGAGTGCCCATTCCTTATTTTAAAAAACCTTGGGAAAATATAAAGTTCACAAAAATAAAGGTGAAAATAAAAATTATCCCAAATAAATTTGTGTTGATTAATACAGTAGAGACTATCAAACTAAGATATTTTTCCACACCACTGATGGCAAAACCAGGGTCTTGGGGGAAATAGATATCTTGTAAAAGGCTGAAAGTCACTTCTTAGGTTCTTGCAAAAATGCTGGATTCTCCCCGGCACATGTATATGATTAAAGGCTGCAATCTGAGCCTCCCAGCTCCGGGGTGGTCTGCTCTCTATTATGTATGCATGATTCATTTTCCCAGCTACCAGCTGCAATCCCTTCTCCCACCCCCAGCAGGCTTATTATACTGGCCCCTTCTCCTCCTGAGAGCAACTAGGGAGGGCAAACTCATTTTACCATTTTTCTGGGTGAAATTTAATTAGCAAGGCAAATACAGAAAAACAGAACACAAAATGACCATGTTAAATAGAAATAAAAGATGGCTCTCAAAACTGACCCTGAGGGGGAAAAAACACACAAAGAGCTGAAGCAATTTGCTGAATCATAGGTCTAAATATTCATTTTTGTCCTCTAAACTCTGAGCCCAATCAAAAAAAAAATGTTTCTAAGGAAAAAAGAAACAAGCACTAGGTGAACTCACAAAAAATCTCATTGAGAAATCATAAAAGGACAGCAAGGATTTGGGTGATTTCATCAACAACAGTGCCTGGCACATACTATATAAAAATTGGCTGAACAGATGAATGAGCCAAGAGTCCATCCCTCTCATTTTACAATTAGAAGCCAATCAGAAAGGGAGACAAGAGGAGAGTGGGAATTTGCAGTCTCGTGGTCCCCTGGGAGACAAAAACTGGAGTTCCCTGATCATGAGAGAGCTGGGAACCAGATAACACCCCAGACTTCCAGATAGGACCCCAAACAGACAAGATGGAAGCTTGAAAACAACCTTACAATGCTGAAAGAAAGTCGTTGCCCACGCAGAATTCTAGAGAAAACAAGAAACAGTGGGTAATCTACTTGTTCAAAATCAATCACAGTGACATAATGCAAGAGCCAGGACTAGGATCTAGACTTCGTGAACACTTCTGTAGCCTAGAGAATTCCTGTTGCAACATCTCCTTACCAACACTTAGGTATGTCAGTATTTTAAGTTGCAGTCATTCTGATGGGTATGATTTCTGACTTGGGAAGGGGGTGCATGTAATTGTCAGGCACTGAGATAAGGGAGACAAGTGTCCTCTGGAGAGAAAAGGCATAACAAGAAGACAGATTGAAGCCCAGCCGGCATGGCTCAGTGGTTGACCTATGAACCAAGAGGTCATGGTTCGATTCCTGGTCAGGGCACATGCCCGCGTTGCGGGCTGGATCCCCAGTAGAGACAGCCAATCGATGATGTTTCTCTCTCATCAATGTTTCTATCTATCACTCTCTTTTCCTCTCTCTCTAAAAAAATCAATAAAACATAAAAAAAGAATCCATTTGCAGATCAGAACTGTCCAGTGTGCACATCATGACATGATTCTTCACCGGGGTCCTTCGTTCAGGTCCCAGGTCCCTCAGGGTCTGCACCACCCGGAGGTCAGCGCCCACGTGGCTCACGTGGCTGTGACCTGTCACCACAGTGAGCCTATCAACTCCTCAGACGACTCTCTGAATCCTGCCGAGTGCCTTGCACATGCCTGGCAATCAATGTCTGTTGATCAAGTCGCTGTTAATGAATAGAGATGGCTTCATCAGTGAATATTGATGAAATGGGACTGCTGCTCCCTCTGGACAGCAAGCCAGGGCTTTTGCAACAGAGGCAGCAAAGAATACCCACTAAGCTGGATGTGTTCCCGCAGTCCTCTCCACGGACAAATCGTTAATCAGACCTGGGGGTGTGGGGGTCTCTGTTGTCATGGTGATTCTTAAAAA